ATATAAAAATATGCATAAATACATTTTAACTAGGTAAAATAAGATATGAATGAACAACAAAAATAAAATAAGTTACATTTATTTGTTATTGGCTATGGTAGGTTATTGGTTATGTTCACATATTTGATTATTAAAATGTAAACCGATCTTTTTAATATGGTTGTTTAGAGTTGTACCCCCTAGATCTAGTCTCTAGTAATGTGTGCTTAAAGTGCACCAGATTGAAGCATTTTACTTTACATTTTCAAACATTTCTTCCCGGGGGGGCATACCCCCGGACCCCCCTACAGGATGTGACGTCCACACCCCAATTAAAACATGTTCATACAATACTGAATACATTTGAAGCCTTTTTGATGTATATTACCTATGTCAATAAGTTTCAGTTTTTGGAGTGTATTTGTCTTTTGAAGAGATTTTTCATTTATTCTTTATATATTCTATTGTGTATTGCTGGGATACTTTTATCTTTTCTACTGAACGATTGAAGTAAATGTGGGAAGCGTTTAACAACAGCCATTTACTTCAAAGGTTTTTCTCAATGTTATTCTTATTTTTGTTAATGCTGGAAGAATGCCAGAAAAAAAGACATTCTCTTCAAGAATAAAAAAAAACATGACATTAGTAATTGTGATAACAAATTAAACAAGTTCTGGGGGGCGCTGCGCTGGTATAGCTCCGGGAGGGAAAAAAAACCTTTTTGACTGTTTGCGCTCATCCTAATTTTCAGCCTTGATGTAACAACATTCATAATTAAGTAAAGGTAACACCCTTTTCACCCCGATTACACTTTTCATTTGCCCTGTACGATGGGCGCTGTAAGTGATGAAAGTGGGGGGTGTTGGCTTATCAGGCGCCCGCAGCTCACAGCCAAAGTGGGCGTGGGAGCGAGCGAGAGAGATAAATGCAATTTATGTGAACAAATATTTCCAAGGCACTCCTTTATAATTATTTGGATAAACAGGTTTGAAATCATTTCAATGTATACTATAGGACAGTAAACCATCGTTTAAAACTTGAGCGATATAAAAATATGCATAAATACATTTTAACTAGGTAAAATAAGATATGAATGAACAAAAATAAAAGTTACATTTATTTATAGTTATTGGCTATGGTAGGTTATTGGTTATGTTCACATATTTGGTTATTAAAATGTAAACCGATCTTTTTAATATGGTTGTTTAGAGTTGTACCCCCTAGATCTAGTCTCTAGTAATGTGTGCTTAAAGTGCACCAGATTGAAGCATTTTACTTTACATTTTCAAACATTTCTTCACACACACACACACACACACACACACACACACACACACACACACACACACACACACACACACACACACACACACACCGCTGCAGACTCTGCACGAAGGAGCCGCGGTGCTGCAGCTCCTGATCGGAGCAGAGACACACGTTCACTAAGCGGAAAAACTATATCATGTCACAGAGATCTGCTATTTTAAAGTAAAGTCAACACATATCGACCCTAAATAAAGTCTATATTAAGAACGAGAGATGGTTTAATATATGGCTTAAACAAATGACAAATGAGCGAGGGTGATGACGTCAGAGCATCGTCCTATGTGCCGGGGCTGAGCCCCGGACAGCCCCGGCCCAATTTAACCCCTGTGTATATGTATATGTATATATATGTATATATATGTATATATATATATATATATGTATATGTATATGTATATATATGTATATATATGTATATATATATATATATATATATGTATATATATATATATATGTATATATATATATACATGCATATACATATATATATATATATATACAGTGCAATAATTATTTCATGCTAAATGAAGCTCTGTTGCTTGGATATCACTAGATCCTGTTACAGCGTAATATAAAAGTACATAACGATTGATGTGTAAATTAGCATAATTACTAGCTAGCCGCTAGCTGCTAACTGCCGCCTCGTTAATATCAAATCTATCATAATAACAACCCATTACCATGCTGTCATGAACGTGCGGTGCTGTTACGTGTACGCAAATTGACGTGCTTGATGTGAACGAGCATTTTGGGGGGCATGGTTAAAGTTGCGCATGCGCTATGAGCGCACATACGGGTACTTCTCAGGCATGCCGGGTAATTTGTGATGTTTCGCTCTCTCAAAAGTTGGGCCATTTTATCATCATGCGCGAATGAGCAACTCTCATAGGAATGAATGAGGCCCCGCCTCCCACGCTGTATCCAGTTCTTATTATACATCCATGCACGACACACGCATTTTTCCAACCCGCATTCCGCGAAGACCCGCCCTACTGTGCCTCTGATTTGCAGACTGTTGGTGGCGGGATGCTGAATGTGATTGGACCAAAGCGTTGACAGACACAAACAGACAGCGGAACAGTCTGACATGCAGAGCGCTGTATGCAGCGGACATAGCGGAGAATTTTGACTCGTTGCGTTGTGGCGATGTCTCGCATATAACACAGATAATACAGATAATACATATCAAAAGTATAATTTGCTCAGAGTCCAGAGACAGTTGTGGTTCGGTCCGGATCCGGACCGGAGTCCGGACTTTGAGGATGCCTGGTTTAGACTCTCTGGGATAATCCAGTCCAAAGAAATCGGCTATGCAGCGATTTAAGAGGTACAAACACGGAGGATTGTTCGCTCAGCGCTGTAAATTAAATTTCCCTTAACTTTCCCCTTAACTGCCGAATCGGAAGCTCTGAATCGGAAGCCAACTTCAGCGTCGTCACCAATTACACGTAATTGTAGCAACAGAACTCGAGTTAAGGAAGTTGAAAACTGTGCATTTCTCCGTATGAATATGATGCCTTTTGGCCAGCTGATGGACACATTGCTCGTGTTTCCGCGAAAATACTTATGGCAAACGAGCATTGACCACATCGAGCTCTGTAGATTAGATTGTCACTTTTGAACGCTATGTTTTCCACCGGCGGATCTCTGCGTGCACGGCGCTGCAGCGAGTCTGTGGGTGTTTCTCAATCGCGAGTACGCTTGCTTGGTAGCACATGTCTTCCGAGTCACTTCCTGCTAGGCAAGAATCCTTCCTGGCATTCGGAAAACGAAGAGTGGAACAGGCTAGCAAGTGTGCAGGTGTGCGTCATATGAGAGGCCCCGCCTTACATTTTCCGCCACAGATTTGGGGAAATTGGTCCGTGCGCAAAGCATTGTGGGGATTTTAAGGACGCGAAGTCTACCCATGTGCAGCCTCGAAATTTCCCCCAAACCAAGGACGCAGCCTCGGTGGAATTCCAAGTATGCTGGACATTGGAACGGTCCTGCTGCGCCACTTGATGACGTAGCATCCTTGAAATATTGGCTTGGAAGCCAGTATCCTCGAGATTGAGGCCCCGGCTCCACGAGGACAAATACGGCAAAACGCATCGGAGTAACGCAAACGCAACCGCAAAAAACCTTCCGACCACACGCAATATACACCGGATTGTGTCAAGCTCCACGAGACGGCTCCGTTTACATCCAACCGCTGGAAAAGCTGCAGTACATATGCCGAACCTGTACGTGGCGCTGTAACTTCCTCCACAAAAGCAGCAACTTCCTCCACAAAAGCAGCGAAGAAGAATGGTTGTCATGGCTGCACTTCTGTTTATTCTCCGCGGTGGGGGCGGAGGGAACCGCGCAGAGTTTTTCGCCGGTCAATGTGTGTTAAAGTTTAAATCTTCATGCTTCCTCATGCAGCAGCTGATCCAGTAAGTAAACCCGACAGTAAAAATAAACATATTTATAACTAGTTTAGGTAGTTTGAGAGGTAATTAAAATAGCTAAGAGTGGTGATCTGACTTGAAGTGTGTGTTTTGCTCCCGCTGCTTCACAGCCGGAGGAGCTGCGTGTCTCCGTCCTGTCAGATTAGACTTCACTCGCGTTTATGTTCATATCGAGATAAAGATAAATAATCTGAATTCAGTGTGCAGTGTACTTTTGCGGGGGTGAGCAGCAGAGGTGGGGAGAGGCGGGGAGAGGCGGGGCTATGAAACGCATGACCGTATAGGCGACCCCACGGCCCCGTTGGACCCCCAGAGCGCTCCGTTCCCAGATCTATCCACCTTTGGACCCGTTGTCGTTTGCGGGGTCTGTTTCTACGTTTCTGTTACGGCGTCGTCGAGCTTAAAGGGCTATACGCATGAGAAATATGCGGATTCAACCCGTTTTCGTCCTCGTGGAGCCTACGCCTGAGAAACGGCCTGTGAGCGAGCTGCCCCGCCCCCCACACAGACGAGAGAGAGAGAGAGAGAGAGAGAGAGAGAGAGAGAGAGAGAGAGAGAGAGAGAGAGAGAGAGAGAGAGAGAGAGAGAGAGAGAGAGAGAGAGAGAGAGAGAGAGAAAGAGAAAGAGAAAGAGAGATCTCAGCGGGCTTGTCCACTTTTCTTTTAACTGCCGGTTGTGTTAAAAATGTGTCAATTTTATTGATTTTACGACCAAACAATGTTTGTTTACAACTTCTTCCCAAGTTTAGGGGGGGGGGGCGCTTCCCCCAGGTTGGGAACCACTGCGCTACAGGGTGTACTTTGAGGGTTTGTGACTTTGCAGACCGTTTACATGCATAAAAAGCTACATAAGTTATGTAGCTTTTTCTGCATGTAAACGGTATGTAACATAACACACAAGGGGACGGGTACTAACTGGACAAGCATGTCATGGGACCTTTAAGTATATTTGGATGCTTATACTTTTGTACTTTTACTTGAGGAACATTTTTGATTGCAGGACTTTTACTTGTAATAGAGTTAATTGGTACTTCTTCTCTGGTACTTGAATTTTTTGTACAAGATCTGAGTACTTTTTCCACCTCTGAGTAGATATATAATCCTACAATTGCTTCCCCAAACACCACTAAAACATCACGTCTCTGCATCATACATCATTGTCCACAATCTCTTGCATTAACATTTAAATTAAAAAAGAAAAATGTGTGATACATTTTACCCAGTGTGTTTTCCCACTGTTAGTTACAGTACAGTGAAGGTGCTCTGTCCTTGCAGCAGTGCGTCGGTCGTCAGACAGGCGGAGCTCTCGGTCCATCTTCCCCCACAGCATGCATCGTTATTTCTAAAGGTTTTTTTTTTTTTCCGCCTCTCCCTCGTGGGATACAGACCGCTATTCTCAGACCCCCAGAGCCAGAGCCGAACAACTGTGGCCTTATAAAACGGACTGAAAGCAGCGACGAGGACACTCATTTCAAGGTTGATGAACTGCAGACACACTTGGATGTAACCATAGATTTCTGTCCAGGAACACGACACTTGCAGTAAGTCAAACAACAATTCAACTTTTCTTTTATTATGCGTTTTTTTTTGTGGAGAAACGATAAGGGGATTTGTGTTTCGGCTACAGGTTGTTAGACTCTTTTTGTGTGCATCTTTCCTCCCAGCATCCTCTTTGAATATTGCTGCCAGTTTGTCCTGATGCAATGTCAAATAATCCATTCTTGGTTTTAAACATTGGGGATTGATTAACTGTGTCCTCGAGACCTGCTCTGATATCAAGTTTTTCAACCAGGATTCAGCTGTTACTCGATGAGCTAAATACTATAGTTGTAATTCATTCTTTATAGTCACACGGGAATTTATGTTGTACTTTTGATAGCAACATGAAAGTCCTTTTGAGATTATAGAAGTGCTTGCAATGGAGTCAGGGTGCACATTTCCACACCCCTTTAACGTATAGGATGTTGCAGTAAAATGCCCTTTTGTCCCCATTTATCATGGATCTTTTTTAAATGACAGAATGTAAGTGTGTCCTGGATCAATTAAAGAGTTTAGGGTCATGTCTGTTTTCCAAGTTTGGGAGAATCTGCTTTTGACAGATACATCCCATTATTGACAGAGTTATTATAAAATCTTCATCTTTTATTGAGCTTAATAGACACTTCTGGTGAAATATCAGACACTAAAAGAGAGAAAAACCTCCTGTCGAAGGTTAAATGTTACTTATTCTGTGTGCATAGGAGAGGTTGCATGAGGCAGCCTGGTGCAAGGAGCAAACCAAGTTGCCTTTTTAAAAACTGGCAACTGAGTGCAGTGTCCTCGCCAATCAGAGTGAAAAGAGAGGATCTTGTCTGTTCTTGGACATGGCAAACCATGATAAATATAGAGATTTGATTGAATATTTCGGAGACCTGCCATTCATCTATTAGCCCTCCAGTCCTAAGCATATTAAGAAGCCTAATCCTTGCTTTAGAGCTGCTACCTGCTGGAGTGTCACACTGAGAGTTGCCCCAGGCTTCAATTGCAGCTCAGGAAGGCTCTCTGGTTGTTAGGTTATTTGGTGCAAAGGAATTTCACCCCATTTGACACCAGCTGGGTATGTTGGAGCAGCCAAATGCTTGGTGACATCATGATGGATGAAGTGGGATTTCATGTGATATTGACCACCGTCCTGTCCGGAGTCCTGCTGGTGGCCGTGGTGCTGGTGCTTTGCTTCTTTTGCTGCAGACTGGCTGGTTCTGGAAGTTCGTTAATGGTCCCTGGACTACCTGTAGGCTGATGCGTCCGAGGAACTGAAAAAGCAACTGGCGTCAGGCATCTTGGATTATTACAACACAGACTCCTGCTTGGTTGGTGCCGGAGTTTTCCTTTGGTTCAGATATGCCTGTTTCCTATTAAAACCAGATGGAGCCTGGCACAGTCTGAGCAAGACTTTTGGAGGTGTTCACAATGTGATTTTTGTATTATAGCCAGTCCAAAAAGGTGGAATTCAAAGGTATAGCATGTGTTAAGGGATTACAACAGGTCATATATTGGTGGGCGGAGGGTGAAGCTCAAGAAGGCTCATATTTGACCATCTAACAAACTTGTTTTAAACAACAGAAGATGTTATTATGCACATAACAACAATTATACAGCTATTGACCAACAATAACACACAGCTAAGGAGCTACAGGGGCCAGGGTGCAAGGTTTATAGCAGGAGCCAATTAATTTTGACGCAACAAACAACAATAATAATATATTAGCTTACTAGGCTACAGATAAACAAGATTCAACAATGCTGGGCAAATATGCCACTGTTGTATAGTTGAAATGCAGGTTACTACTTGTTTAGAGCTGCAACAAATCATGTGAATTTAGAATTAACAAATGGAATGCTTACAAAAAGTTTATAACAACAAGCAGGAACAAACAACCAAAATCTAAATCAAAGTCAGTCCAAAAAACATTTGTGGATTTGTTTAATACTGTGTCTCTGAGCTACGAAAATTGGTAATGCAGAGACACCAACCGCTACTGTGCAAACAAACATATACACAGTCTATGGCATACATACATCCTGCTAGACACATCCCTGATGCACACAGCATGTGGTACTCAGCAGTACCTGTTGGACCTAATACATTTATTTTGTCCTTAATAGCAGGTTCAACAACATACACACAAACACATATTTCATCCACACAGCTTTCTTCACCAACATGCTGTTACATCTATTTCTCCGCTCCTCCCTCTGCTCATTCTGATGAGCTAACTATGTTTTGCCCATACAAAACATAGTTAGGGCTCTGATAGTGCTGAGTTCTTAGTCGTCTGACAATTTAATGTATGTGTTGACTGTAGCCTGATATTTGGAGTTGCTGAACAAACTATATCGTAGCAGTAGTCTGTATGAGACTTTTAGGGAACATTGGTGTGTACAATAAAGAGACCAATCATTTTGGAAAGCCTTCCCTAGCCTTCATTACATGCCGCCCTTGGGTGGGATACAATGTAATGCCAAAGATATTTGCAATTGGAAAGAAAAAAAATTCAATCAACCTTGTCTAAACAAAAATAAAAAAAATAAAAGCTTTCTGTCTGAGTTGCACAGGTCAAAGATTTTTGCGAAGTTATGTTTTTTTCTTCTCATGTGTGTACGTGTCCAGTCAATCATTCGCTGTTAATCGGCTTTGTTAAGGCCTTTAAACCTCTCAGTGCTATGGAGCTCAATCCCATTAAAATGACCTTGATTATAAGCACAGAGAAGTAAGGAGGAGGGTGTGAATAATTTCAGATGAAAGCCTGACTGGCCAGGACCCATAAGGACTCCTGTTGTGACCACTTACATTCACAGTGAGGACTCCAGCTTAACTTCACCAAGATCTCCTTCACTCTGCTCTGCAAGGACTGAAGGACTACTTCTATTTTACAAAGATGAAGTTCAACACACACACACGCACGCACGCACGCACACACACACACACACACACACACACACACACACACACACACACACACACACACACACACACACACACACAAACACATTTAATTAACAAAGCTTTGAGGACATGAAAACATACTATTGGTTGAATTCTTGAAGCCTTGTTTTGCCTGTTTCTTTATATAGAAAGCCTATTTAAGATAAGGGAGCAAGTAATATTAACACATATTTTCAGAATTTCTTCTTCCAGAAGCTTCCACTAAGCAAAGAAGAAGTTGCCAGTTCAATATGTAAATTGGTCAGTTACTCAGAATAATAATTGATACTTGAGGCGTTACAACACGAGGTAGAATTGTGCTGCATGTATACTTATTTAAATCATCGGTAAATACATATTAAACCGGTGTGTCAGAGTCCGTGTGTGACAGAGTGACACAGACTTAATCACTAGTGTTTGTTCTCCTTTTCTCTAGCTGTGAGGTGACTGCAGACAGACTTCCTCAGCTTCTCAAAGTGGCATGTTAAGGCTTTCTGAAGAAACACGTCACTGACACGACAATGAAGCTGACAGCCCTGCTCATCGTTTGCTCCTCTCTGATGTTTGGGAGTTTGGGGAAGCCACAATTCCCTGGTAAGTCGCTGTGTTGTTAGTCAGTCGACCGCGAAAAAAACAACAAAATAACTGTCCAGCCGCCTGTAATGCGTCAAAACACACACTGGAAGGTTTTCAAGGTTGTTGGAGAATGTTTTGAACCTTTTAGGGAAGTGTACTGTATGTCTTCAAATAGATGTCCTGTTTTGTTTTAAACACTGGTTTCAGTGCTGTTTGGATTAGCCAAGAAAAATAACAGGAATTTAATGTTTAGGTACATTCTATCAAAAAAATGATCATCCAGCTGCTCTGCAGGAGATGCGCTGGAGATGTGTATTTCTATTGTAACAACTCCTGCCATCACCTTTTGTAAAAAGAGGTGAACCTAGTTAAATGTTGAGAATATGGATTCTAACTTACGAAATGTAATGGTTTAAGATGATTTCACCAGATTTGACTTATTTGGTGACAATTTGAGCTGCTGATGATTAGTCGATTAAAGAGGCCCTTTAAGATTTTTAGGGTTTCCCTTCCCTGTAGTGTATTATATAGGTTTATGTGCATGTAAATGGTCCCACACACACTCCATTGGACTTCATCATGTAACCATATAATAGACATATTATATTCTTTGCAAGCTCTTGTGGGGCCACAGAAAATGAAGTCACGGGCCGGATTTGGCCCCCGGGCCTTGAGTTTGACACCTCTGCAGTAGAGGCACAAAATACTAATATTAACCTGAAAATGAGCACAAAAGGGTCTCTTTAATTGATAAGTTGATAGTCAAATATAATTTGTCCCATTTAAGAAAAGACGTCAAAACATTTGCTGGTTTAAGCCTATTGTAAAGTTCTGAGCCTTTTCTTCATCATGCATTTTACATTTTAACAAAAATATCTACAAACAAGAAACATGAAGACATTAACTTGGGCTGTGGGAAATTACAATACATATATCATAACATGGATTTGTTTTCTCCTGATTTTCAATGTAAAGCTAATGAGACTGCTTATTTCCTTACACAGAACATGAGAAGGATCCCAAGTTTTGGAACATGTGGGCCCAGCGGACCCTGAAAAATGCTCTGTCACTGCAAAGTCTCAATACAAACAAAGCGATGAATCTAATCCTCTTCCTCGGAGATGGTAAGCCACATTATCGATGTGTTTCCATCCTGACTAATGGCATGCTAATTATCTTCCCAAAGGCAGAAGGTAACCTTACTGCAGAAGAATTTAGATTGCGATAAACTCATCAGTAAAGACAAACTTTCCCTTTTGGCATTTTTATCGGGTGATAATAACACTGCAGTTGGTAGCTTTATTAAAAAGCCACTTGTCATAATTGCTGAAACTGTCAAACTGTAATCGGTGAAAAAAAGACTATTTATAGGCATCTATTAGTGCTCCATCTGGCATTTGCAAGATTTCATTGTGCAAAATAAAACCAATCATGGCCGGGTGTTCTCAATCGAAATGTCATTCGCTGCTTTTGAAGTAGTTACTGCAAAAATAAGGAAGTTTGCTGCAGTCAGTGCAACCATGTCTGTTTTTTTATATTGTGGCCGGCTCAAAATATTTCTCCTTTTACAGCTTTACAGTACATGTTTCTGAAAACATTTAAGATAAGAATTAAGCAATACAGTAACATAATCTTGATTATATTGATCAGCGCGGCCTATTTTGACAGTTAGATTGGGTTCACCAGCAGTGAACCAAACCACTCTGCTCTGAGTGGTTTGGGAGGAGACAGAGGAAACTTATATTTTACAATAATAAATAAATATTACAAAAAGGTGTTTTGAAATTTGCCAACCGTACCTTTAATTATGGACAATCCAGCCGAGCCAACAGTTATATCGAAGCCTAAATGACGTTACAGAGGATCCAATGATCCAGATAAAAATGAATGAGATCTTTCAAATATTTGCCAACACGGGATGTGATGCATAGTATCAAACAAAACAACGGTGCCGCCACCAGATCTGTGGGCCTGTGTTTGAGCTGGGTTGCTCATTGGTCAGAGAAAAACAACTTTTATCCTTCATCTGCCATGTTTGGACTATAGAAACAACATCACATTCTTGCGCATGGATGCATTCAAGGTCATGTTTGCGTAGTTAGAGAATAACAGGCAGCGTCTTGGAAAAAAACTAAAGTTGGAAACACATAACAGGGAATGTATGACTGAATGAACTATACAATTTATGACTAACTATAAACTGTTTCCCAGACATGATCTTCCTCCGAAAATTTAAGAAACAGGATCCAAAATTGCACAATAAACTGTTTAACCTCGGGTTATGTGACGTGTAGGCTTTGATAATGCATTAGAGTCTTCAAAATGATTGGAAGTGATCAAACTAGACGAATGGAGAACAAAGCAAAACTTGTGTTGTTTCCACAACAACACTTGGCAGTTATTATGTTAAACTGTTCCTCAGTTTTTAACAAAAGTAAGGGTCATTCAAAGTTATAATACATTGAATATTTAGTGTATTTCTTTGAACAGTGTCTGCTTTGTTTTCTTGGATCTGTTTTTAAAGTAATTTGTATCTAAGAAAATGTTTTGCCTAACAGCAGCCAGCTTTTTCTAAAATGTCAAAGAAAACAACCGCCCCACATGTGTTGCAAGCTGAGGACAGCAGGGGAGGAAAAGTGTTGAAGTTTCTCATGTGCTATTGCTTTCCTTCCCGCCGTGAGAGATATCTAACACTGGACCTGCTTTTGGTGTTTAGGGATGGGCATTCCCACGGTGACGGCTGCTCGAATCCTGAAGGGTCAGCTGAACGGACAGAGCGGAGAGGAGACGCAGCTGGAGATGGACAAGTTCCCTTTTGTGTCTTTGGCCAAGGTCTGATCATGTTTTATTACTATATAGTTTCAATATAACGCAATGTATTGATCTTGTGGCCATTAATGGTTTCCTGTCAAGGCCTGTGACTTTAAACAAGGTCATACAGTGTGTCACATCGAATGCTACAGATTTTATGAGGAGAGCCAGAAATCATAAAGTATTTTTATTATTATATACCACAGTCTAGCAATATTACATGTTTTTTTTACTGTCAAAAATCACATGAAAAGATAAAAAACAATCCTACTAACGAGTGCTGTCTGGAAAGTGCATGCCTGTATTAGATTATAGACCTCCCTTGTCCAATAAATATTATAAAAAACATTAATGAGACACTGATGTAAATAGATATACCAAACATAGCCGACTTAGGCAAGTTCTGAAATTAAACATGTTTTTCCTTGTTACTGATTTATCATTATAAAAAAGTTACTTTCAATTAGTAACATCAGGTAACATAGATGCAAAATAATGCCTCCTATGTGAATACTACCGGGAAACCAACCTGGCAACTTAAATACACAGAGAATTTGTGCAATATTACAGTTGACTAACCCCATTTGTTTTATCCAGAGAAAAACAGGGTTTGGGGATTTTTCCAAACATTAAAGAGTTGGACTCAAGTCAAATCAAATATTTTAATTGGTGTGATTTATAATGGTATCTGCTGTGTAAAAAGTAATTCATGGTGAATCTAGAATCAAAGACTTCATGTGAGGCACATTTTTCTGCTGCTGATGGAAAATGGAAAAAAAATAGGACCTCGCACATTTCTTTAGAACATTTGGTGGAATTGCTTTTGTGCCTTTGCCAATATGCCATGCAAATAGTCAGAACAGCAAAAAGGCACGTTATTTTTTTATCTAGAGACAACACATCCTTCCTGTTGTTATAAAAAGTGCTATGATGAGTATTGCTAGGCGGCTAAAAATAGTGTGTGTGTGTGTGTGCAACCTATACAAAGACTTAGACCCAGGCTCCACGGGAACGCATACGGCAAAACGCATAGGATTAACGCAAACGCAAACACCAAAAAGCTTCCGTCCACACGCAATATACACCGGATAGTGTCTTGCTACACGAGACAGCTCCGTTTACATCCAACCGCTGGAAAAGCTGCAGTACATATGCCGAGCCTGTACGTGGCGATGTAACTTCCTCCACAAAAGCAGCAACTTCCTCCACAAAAGCAGCGAAGAAGAATGGTTGTCATGGCTGCACTTCTGTTTATTCTCCGCGGTGGGGGCCGAGGGAACTGGGCAGAGTTTTTCGCCGGTCAACGTGTGTTAAAGTTTAAATCTTCCGGACAAAATTATAAAAGTGCCGGTCAAAGGTCTTCTTTGTTATTTATTGAGCTTTAAAACAAATGAATAACGACGATATAATGATATATAATCATCAAATACACAGAGCCTGTCTCTTTTTCCTCTCTTCTGACAGCGTCAGTGTCTGTCTCATGCAGCAGCTGATCCAGTAATGATGACTCGACAGTAAAAATAAACATATTTATAACTAGTTTAGGTAGTTTGAGAGGTAATTAAAATAGCTAAGGGTGATGATCTGACTTGAAGTGTGTGTTTTGCTCCCGCTGCATCACAGCGGCAGGAGCTGCGTGTCTCCGTCCTGTCAGATTAGACTTCACTCGCGTTTATGTCCATATCGAGATAAAGATAAATAATCTGAATTCAGTGTGCAGTGTACTTTTGCGGGGGTGAGCAGCAGAGGCGGGGAGAGGCGGGGCTATGAAACGGATGACCGTATAGGCGACCCCACGGCCCCGTTGGACCCCCCAGAGCGCTCCGTTCCCAGATCTATCCACCTTTGGACCCGTTGTCGTTTGCAGGGTCCGTTTCTACCGTTCCGTTACGGTGTCGTGTAGCTTAAAGGGCTATACGCAAGAGAAATATGCAGATACAACCCGTTTTCGTTCCCGTGGAGCCTAGGCCTTAAGAGATGGATTAATAAGATGTTGGTTTTGGGTTCTTTCATGGGATTTGCTTACAATTAGAATATCCCAAGCTTTACTTATTAGTAAAGTATTTTAACATATTGCTATTATAGGAAAATCACCTGTCCAGTTAGTGTCATGGCTTAACAAATTACACAAACACACTAACAAGTGTAGACAATGATCCTAGAAAGACTATAAACGCCCCTGTTATATGAATTCTGACCACATGTGATGTCCTGGTACTCTGCAGACATACAACACTAACGCCCAGGTGCCGGACAGCGCTGGCACCGCCACAGCGTACCTCTGCGGGGTGAAGGCCAACGAGGGCACGGTGGGCGTGAGTGCAGCTGCTGTCCGAACCCAGTGCAACACCACACAGGGCAACGAGGTCACCTCCATCCTCAGATGGGCGAAGGAAGCAGGTAGAGTGACATCAAATAAACATAACACTTACTTTTTTTCAACCAATTATGCGTCTCATGTCCGAGGATCTGGTTGTAGTTGAATGCTGTGTTAATGGGAAGTTGGAAATGGGAATACTCACTGAGGCTACTTGATCGCTCACAGCTAAGTCTTTGAAGTGCTCTTGAAAGTGATTGCCCTAAAACATGTTTTTCAACTATGCTCGTTCCCCTTTCAGCTGTTCATCCTTTGAACCAGAGTTATCCTGCTGTGGAAAAAACTTAACCCAAAGAGCTTTTTCTCATGTATTAAAGAGACACTGTCCATCTGATTGCCCCTTGAAATAAAGTTGTATTAGGATTTAGTTTTATGTTTTGATGTGTCTGCATCCTTGATTTAGATTTCAAGTTGGTGTAGAGTTAGAAATGTTTTGATAGGAGCCGTTCCTAGACTAAAATAGAGTTGTTTAATGTGCTTTTTCAGATAAGGATACATGTAGGCAAAACATACCAAGAAATCCCCTAGTCAATCTCTTTTAATATAACTGAAATGCCTTTATTTTCATAGCATATTACCGTTAAATAAAACATAAAACAAGCAGTCCAGCATTAAGTCTTAATCAGGAAGTCAAAATATTTTAAACTTGAAAAAAAAAGTACTTTATTTTTAGAATTGTTACAAAACCATTTGCACAAGTGTTTATAAATCTCAATAATTAATCAAAGGTTGTAGCCAAAACCCAATAAAGAGCCACATCTCAAAGAGTCCCAAATGAATGACCTCTGATTTCCCCCTCCAAGCATGGTGTTATTCAGTCTGTTTCAAAAACCATGAGACAAAACAACAAGTCAAAGCACACCACAAAGAAGGAAAGGACTGATGGTTTTTCAGAGGGTGTGGGCGGTACTGGGTGAGGGTCAGGGTGTGTGTGGGTGGGGAGGTCACAGATAATAAGAAATCCAATTATTGCTCTGGAAATAAAGCAGGCAGCAGCTGACCTCTGGCAGAGAGTGAAAAGGAAATTTGAAAAGTGATTTCCATCAGGTCATTTAGCTAGATTGTCCTCTGCTGATTTTGCATTTAAAGTTTGACTTCTTTTCATCCAGAAGATTTATAACCAGAACAAAAATAGTTGTAGGTTGTTATTGTCCTCTACTGGCTGTGAAGGGATTGCTTCCTGTAAGGAATGGAAGACACAATTGTCACTCCTTGTTCAATGCAAATGTGCATTTCAGTTTTAACCAAAGCTAATATGAAGCTACAGGACTAGCAAATCAACTGAGCTATATCCAAAGTTACAGTTATTTAGGTATGAAACTCTCTCTTTGTGTTACTATCCCTCCACTGCAGCGAAGAAACCCTGCTCAGGGAAACACAAAGAGTGAATTCATCTAGGCCTGAACATGTTGTTTAATCAAAAACGTTCTCAGCCTTAATTCACAGCTGCCTATGTGTGTGTGTGTGTGTGTTCACTGCAGGCAAGTCCGTGGGAATAGTGACAACGACCCGTGTCAACCATGCGACTCCCAGCGCTTCTTACGCCCACAGCGTGGACAGAGACTGGTACTCCGACAATGAGATGCCAGCTGAAGCTCTGAGGGACGGCTGCAAGGATATCGCCAGACAACTCTTTGAAAACATTCCCAACATTGATGTAAGTCAAGAGTATAAACCCTGATACACAACTTTTATCAGCTTATCCTATTAGTATGTCAGAGAGCCTTCTGGGTTTCAGATAGCACTTTCCATTGTGTAGTAACAGTTATCTCCCCAATATTGAAGAGCTGGCCCTGTATCTTACTATATCAGAGTGTAAGCGCTTTAGCAATAGCGGTTTAGCAGTAGCGGTGTAGCAATAGCGGTTTAGCTTTAGCAATTGTGCTGGATTTGGATAAGTTTACACTCCAACAACCCAGCGAATATTTCAAATAGACAAACCAAATCAAATACATAACTTCAATAATGCATAAATGTAACCAAATATCTCCAAGTACGTAAGCATTTTCCTTTATCATACTTGAGTGAAAGGATTAACTCTAGTTTAATTAAATAGCTAGCTACAACTAACATAATCTGCCAACCATGGTTGTCATTTGAGCCAACTATAGAACAGTAATGACAAAGATGTTTATTCTCTTATTCTTTTCTTGCCACTTTCTAGGTGATCATGGGTGGAGGGAGGAAGTACATGTTCCCCAAAAACAAGTCGGATGTAGAGTACCCCAACGTTTTGAAGCACAGCGGCACACGAAAAGACGGAAGAAACCTGGTGGAGGAGTGGACTGACAGAATGAAGGATAAAGTAAATGTCTCCTCCTCTTTCCTCTCTTTGCTCCTTTCATTTCTCTGCTCTCTCTTTTATCTTCCCAAACACATTTACATATTCAGGAGTTCAAAGTGACTGCAGTGTTAAGACACACAATGTTGTGCTGTACATTTGTGTCTTTGTGCAGAAAGGCTATTATGTGTGGAACAAGAAGCAGCTCTTATCACTGAACCCTAACAACGTGAATTACTTATTGGGTGAGTTTCTAGTCCTAGCTTCATTATAAAACTCTCCTTGAAGTTCAAAACAGAGAAAGTGTTTGCATTTTCTGTAGGCTTATTTCCTGCACTGTGCTTGATGTTTTTTAAGGTCTTTTTGAACCTGCGGATCTGCCGTACGACTTGGAGAGGAACACTGAGACTGATCCCTCGCTGACAGAAATGGTGGAGGTGGCCATCAAGATCCTGAGGAAGAACCCTAGGGGATTTTACCTGCTTGTCGAGGGTGAGTTTGTGGTGAAATTGGACTGTCTACATTTATTTTGGGACCAGTTTCCAAAAGATCTATCAGACTGGTCTCGGGTCTTTATTACGGGCCAGTTTCTTTTGGAAACAACACAGATTTTAAGGCCAGTAGGACTTCTGATACAGTTGCTAGTACCCAATGTTTTTTATTAGGATTATGAAAGAAACCATTTCCAAACCATCAACCGTCTGATTGGTAGGCGACCACTCTACCTCAGAGCCACTGTCAAAGTCAACTTTATTGTCAATCTTTCAGTTTGTGTGTACAGACAGAGAGATCGAAATACCGTTTCCCACAATCCCGAATACAAAATACAAATATATATAAAAATATGTATACAAATATGTATATACCTATATATACACAATCGACAGACATTTATACATATGCACAAATTAAAACATAAATAAAAGCACAACAAACAATATATACAAAATAGTCACTTCAATATCTTTGAGAAATGTACACGATGCAGTTAGGGGATGGAGACCAAGTCATCAACCCTCTGAATTGTCCACATACTCACTAAGGCCGACCAAATAAAAGTATAACATGTTTAGGAGTAATGAATAAGAATTGAAAAATATCTGTGAAGTTTCTCCTGAGGTGCATTATGCATTCCAATTTCATAATCGGTAAGGATTTCAAAGGCCTTGTAGAGACGGGAGTCTTTTATTTTTTTGCCCAAAAATATTCAACATCAAATTATTTTTTACTTCTTTTATATTGGCTACCAGACCACGTTGTGTTCACATTGAAAAAATGTGAAAATTAAAAATCATTAAATGATTTACAATGTAGCAAGTTTCAATGAAACATCAGTGATTAAAGTTGGTGTGGTTGCTATGTTCCAAGTCTAACCCTGCTGCCAATGTTCACTTGTGCCTTCAAAGGAAAGTATTTTGCAGCAGTTAATAAAATATGACATTCAGTAACAACTACTTGGAATAGAAATGAAAAACATAAAAGCCATAAAACGTCGAAAGGCAAAGCGTTCCAGGATTCAGAGGCAGGAAATACAATGAGATGTAAAACAGCACTGATGAACTATATAAAAAAATAAATTGAAATATAGTAGTTTGTGGTTTAAAACATCTGTTGCTGTTTATTCTTGGCAGTGAATGCAGGAGCAAAAGAACATGGTAGTCTGGTTATATCATCGACATTGAAGCTGAGAAATGTCTGAATGGCTAATGTTAGCACAATATTAGATATAGAAGGCACAGGATGGTTGTTGATCGCTATTTGTCCTTGGTTGAATCTGTTGAAAGAAGCTTGGTTACAGTTAAACACCTGCAAGTATGACAGTGATTGTTCTGGCAGACTGAGAGAGGATAAAGATGTATGTATGTTTCAGACAGAGTAATTGTCGGATCATCTGATCATGTTGTTACGAACCCACTAGGGATGAGTAAGGTAACACACACCAGATGGTTTTGGTAAGTAATTATAATAGGATTTTAATGAAATAACAACAAAGGTGTACAACAAAAAGGGAGCAAAGGTAACCTAAGCTAAACAAAGAAGCCAAAAGGGCGCAGGTCTACTGCTAATAACAGAAAGAGGACTCTAAAACATGAGCCTAGTTATCACATCTGAGATCACTTCCAATCAGCACTAATGGAAGGAGCTGCAGGAAAACACAGCTAACAAAAGAAACTAAACACACCACTTTAAACACATATATCAACACACGACACTAAGCACATATTTTCATATCATTTCAAACCTTTATTTAACCAGATTGGTCCCATTGAGATCATAGATCTCTTTTTCAAGGGAGACCTGCAGCATATAGGTTCCACATGAAACATAAAACAATAAAGGACATCATACATTATATTTACAGGATACATTTACATAGTTATAGACATTTACAAGTACCCATAGTATCAACGAGCATTTCATTTAGCCTAGCTTTAAAAACATGCAGAGGAATGAGATTGCTCAGTTTCAATTCTTGCTGAATATTGTTCCAAGCAAGTGGAGCTGCGCACATAAAAGCTGTCTTACCTAAGACAGTCCTTGCTCTTGGCACATCTAACAATACTACATCATGTGATCTCAGACAATAGCCGCTTGCAACTCTCTGTGTTATCAGAGAGCAGATATAATACGGGAGTTTACCCAACAAAGCTTTATAAATAAACGTGTACCAATGACTGAGCCTCCGTACAGTAAGTGATGGCAAACCTGCCTTGGCATACAGGGTACAGTGATGTGTAAGTGCTTTACAATTTGTGACAAATCTCAGTGCGCTGTGATAGGCGGCATCTAACTTGTTCAGGCAATGGGCAGGTGCATTCATATACAACAAGTCACCATAGTCCAGCACAGGTAAAAAGGTCACAGTGACTAGCCTTTTCCTGGCTTCAAGTGAGAAACAGGACTTGTTTCTGAAACAGGATATATTATCACACCAAACAGTCTGTAGTGTCCACGACACAAGAGCAAAAGGTATGAGGCGTCTGATCGCAGCAGAGCCTCCCGAGTGATAGCTGTCCCCAGGCTTTGTAGTCATCTCCGGCCGGTGTGCGCTGGGATTGCATGGGGATTAGAGAATCCCCCGGCGTGCTCCAATCAGTGTCTTCGGAGGTGGACCAGGAGATGACAGCCAATGACGTTGGGGCAACCACACAGCTCATTTACATATCACACACACACGCACACAGCTGCAAACAATCCCAAACAGGTTAACGAGCAGACAGAAACAGCAGCGGTAACAGATGGTAAAAGAGGGCGCCCACACCTTTTTCACGGTTTTCTAAAGGGGCCTTCCGGAACTTACAATTTGAGAAACCATGCCCTGATTGCAGAATGAACGGTCAGTGTATGGAGGGGAGACTTGAGGCTATGATTTTAACTTCTCAATCTAGCTTTGACATTCAGAGAATAAATATAGTCACAACTAATTGCTATGTTGGATACATTGGTGTAGTTACTCTTAGGTCGCTAAGAGGCTAAACTAGGCTCATCACTTTTACATGTTGTGAAAAAGTCTGTGCTGAAGTTCTTGTTCTATGATGTTTAATAAAGAAATAAAACAAACCATAAATACAGCAGCACTATATGATAAACTGAAAATATCCGAGCCAGCTCACCCTCTTTGTGATCCAAACCCCACGTACAACAAGTGGACTAAATACCTTTAGGTGACAATTAGGGTGACCAGATGTCCCGCTTTGCGCGGGACTGCACAGCATTTTCACGACTTTTGGTGCGTCCCGCAAATTGAGACTATGTCCCGCATATTTCATTTTGATTGGCTAAAACGCTTTTCTAAAATCAGATTTATCCAATGGCTGTTGAGAAAGCAGGGAAGGCTATCATCACGGAGCTGTGTTTGCTGTCAATCAAACTGTAAGACACGGCGGGTGCTGGTCAAGTGTTAACCAATGAGAGTAACTCACTCACACACACACCGCCGCGGCCCTGCCAAACAACAACAATGAAAGTCAATAACGCAGGCGACGCAGCAGGTTATGGAAAATGGAGGAAACTGAAACTACAGCTAAGAAAAGAATAAGATGCACATACAACAAAGACTGGGAAGACATTTACCCGTGGGCAGCGGCGGACTGGGACTACAAATCAGCCCGGGTCTCTCGACCGGCCCACCTCGGTACCGCAAATAATCACCGCTAGTACATTTTCAACTGGGGGGGGGTGTTGAGAGGGTGTCCCACATTGTCCCACACAAACATACTCCTTGTCCCACATTTGGTTTGTTGGGACCTGGTCACCCTAGTGACAATTGCTTGAAGTGATAACCAATTACAAATGTGTGCGGTGTTTACAATAAATGAAAATAAAATAAACAATGCTAAATAAGCTTTTTGGCTCCTTTAAGTGGAGTAATGAGTACCGGAGCAGAGAATGAAAGTTGTGCTCAGTCTTTACTGTTTTGTGGAGAGTTTGTTGAGTTTGGTTGTGTGTTAATAGTGCTTGTGTGTGGCTAGCCAATGGCCATCGCCCTGCATTGTGCTTATGAACGTTACTGATAATAACGCTGCTCAAACGCAATTCCATTCCTCTAGAATGTTGCCTTTATTTTAACTGTGATTCGTGAGAGCCGCCGGCTCAGCTGACATCCTGATGAGAGCTGTGTGGAGGCATCCCTCTGAAATTGAGACATTTTGAGTAAAGAGAAACCTATGATCGGTGTTAGAAAAATATCACTCGTCACCGGCTTGTGTTTCAATATCAGGATACATGTATTTATTATCCTTGAAAGAATGGAAGTAGTCATCACTTACAGAGCATTTGGTACAACTAGTTCCCAGAACAGTGTCCTTCACATGCTTACATACAAGAGAGGGTGTTACACAGTCACAAGATGCAGGAATACCGGTTCAAAGCAGTATACAATGTTTAGTTGATTAGGTAACACCCACGTCAGAAATGATCATGCTTGTCATATGTCTATCTCAATAGAGGCTGAATCATTATGTTAATCATTGTCACATAGCTATCATATGCCTAAAACAGTGTGTGCTGACGCTCTTCTAGGTAATCATACATCCGGTTACGTACACAGCCATGTAGGGCCTTTATTATCATGTGCTACTCTGATATTGGAAGAGTACATTCAGTATTTTCCCAACAATCAGCATATTCCCTCTTGTGACTTTTACTCATATTGGGCTGACTTCTATAGTGAGTTAAAGGTCCCCTATTATGCAAAATGCACTTTTTGATGTCTTTTATACATAAATATGTGTTTCCGGTGTGTCAGGGAACTCACAAAGTGTCAGAAAATAAAACTATTTTTCTCCACATCTCTAAAAACGGGGGTACAACGGAGCTGATCCAGATTTGTGTCCGATATGACGTAATATAAATGGCTTTACACCCACGGCCCTGTCAGAAACGTCGCTATCAGAAACAATGTGCAACGTGTTTTGCACGTAATATGGTCTTTGTTTACATTAGCAAGCATCGCTAACACTCAGAGCTAACCTGTACTGGAGAGAGTATGTGTAAAAAAGCAGGAAATAAAAAAAGGTAGTAAACCCGCAAGAAAAAAAGCATTTGAGCTCCATACTGTTTCAGAAATAATCCTTGAAGTGGTTTGGAACATGATGGCGTTTAATCAAGGCAGCATTGAGCTGAATCTGATCAGAGCAGACAGCCTGCTCGTCACAGAACTCACAGTGTGCCTGCTGCTCAAAAGGGGGCGGGGCCAGCAGCTACAGTCACAGAATCAGAACTTCTCTAACAGGGCTGAAATAGAGGGATATGAGGGATGTCTAAAATGCATGATCTGTTTGCTATTTTGAGCAAAACACATCATAGACATGTTTTTATATATTTTTATATATCTGAGACCCATAATATATGCCTCAAAATAGCATGATAGGAGATCTTTAAATAAAAATAATAAACTACTGCTCTATTGCGTGTGTGCTCATAGTCCCACCATGCCGCTTTTCCCTTTTAACAGACAGGTGAATAAGGTGTGAAACAGAATATGTGGCCAGGAGGATAGTAACAAAAGGGACTCAAATCACATCCTTGAAGTTTTGTTGAATATATATTGTGTTGTGAAGAGATATGGTGCTGTAATCCAAACACACAGGATTAGAAATGTCACTGTCTTTACGAATCTTAACACATAATTGTCCCCCTGTCAGGAGGACGCATTGATCATGGACACCACGAGGGCAAAGCCAAGCAGGCGCTGCATGAAACTGTGGAAATGGACAGAGCCATCGGCAGGGCAGACCTCCTGACCAGCGTCCATGATACAATGACTTTAGTTACCGCTGATCATTCTCATGTGTTCAACTTCGGGGGTTACACAGGGAGAGGAAACACCATATTTGGTATGTTATGATAGTGATGTACATTCTGTAGTATAAATGTCTTTGTTGTACCACATGTTTACTAGTGCTGTGAGTTAATTTTTCTGTCGTGATAATGGGGTTTAATGCATCTACAGGTCTGGCCCCGATGCTCAGTGATATTGACCAGAAGCCCTTCACCTCCATCATATATGGGAACGGACCAGGTTACAAACTTATCAACGGAGCGAGGGAAAATGTCTCCACTGTCGATTACCGTAAGTAAAACCAATAAGGAAACATTATAGAAAATACATTTTCTTTGAGAAAAAAGTGCATCTATCTGACTTATTATTCCCCAAAATAACTTGACAAAGGTAGATCGATTAAGAAAGCACAAGCTATTTTCTGTCAATAAAGCAATAAAGAGACATTTCTCAACCTGAGGTACGGGCGATAGACAATTAAACAGTTTTGGTAAAGAGCATGACTGAAGGGGATTGCTCTTGTCTCGACATAAAATAACTTATTCCAGAAGTTTTTAATTAATCCTAGATTAATGGTGCATCCTTTAGTTGAGTTTTCACAAAACACATTGTGTGTATTCTGATTGTTTAACAAATGTGTTGAAGGCAAGGAAAGTTTATTTATACAGCACCTTTCAGCACACAGCATTTAGGGATGGGTACCGTTAAGGTTTCAAACGGTGCATTTCTTCGTCTGAATGTGGTGCACTTTTGCTAATTGTTTAGACAAAATGCTCGTGTTACCGCCCTTAAATGCTAAACTCTTATTGCACTTTTGGCAACGAGCATTGTCCACATCGAGACGGGTAAAGTTTAACAACACCTTGGAGCGCTTAGTTCTCTCTACCATCTCCGCCTCCGCATTGTTTTGTCTTTTTGCATGTTAGAAACGGAGTTGGCGACACTAAGACTGCAATATGTAGCAATAATACACATGACATATCTTTTTTAAATGTCTCCAGTACCGCTAAAAAGACCTAGAACGTCGGAGCTTAACTGTACCACGGTCTTTAATAATTCACCCCCGGGGCCCCTTTAATACCGGGGCTCGGTACCCATCCCTACACAGCAATTCAAAGTGCTTTACAATTTAAAATAAAAGACATTTAAGAATAAATACAGCAAAAACATATTATAAAATGGCATTTAAAAACAGGCATTAAAAAGCAAAGTTAATAAAATAAACACAACAGATATAGAATACATGAATAAAAACCATACTGCAGTGTGGATATAAACAGCTCACTCAAATGCAGCGACAAAAAAGTGAATGCATTTCATTCCTCATTTGCTAAGCCAATAGGTATGTGCAGTTTTAAATTGAGCATTGTTTACATCCTAATTAAATATAATTGATCTTCTCCCCTGCTTTGGTTTGCACATTGCTGAATATCTTGGCTTGCAGCCGCTACCTGTGGATGAGTAGATTCATTTAAAACCATTCACTGGATTGTGCATTCCACCACCCGCGTGCATGAGCGTTCTTGTGCATGAGATACACAATAACGCTGAACCACTCATAGAAAAACTCTCATAGAGAAGAGCTACTAGAGGGCCAAACCTCAATACAAACCTTTGAAAAAGGGTGAACATCTTTCCTTTATGCTTCAGGAGTTAAGAACAATGACATCTTTGCATATTTTCTCTGCCTTTCAGAGGATAACAACTACCAGGCCCAGGCCGCTGTACCTCTGAGCATGGAGACCCATGGAGGAGAGGATGTAGCTGTGTTTGCTAAAGGTCCCCTGGCCCACCTGCTGCACGGGGTCCATGAGCAGAACTACATCCCCCACGTCATGGCGTATGCAGCCTGTATCGGCCAGAACAGGGAACACTGTGTGTCACGTAGCGGGGCTGCAGATCTACGCCCTGTCCTCTCTAGCATCGCAGCCCTTCTCACAGTCACCCGAATCCTGTGCTGACCACAAACTATACCCTCCCATCCTCATCCTGTTAATAACCCTGTTATAACCACTCGTAATTTTTTTTATTTCAATTTGATGTTGTTTTTTTAAGTTCTGATTTTACTCTTCAATATTTTGTTGTTATCATGGGACCACTGTTAGGGCTGTTTGACAATATATATTATATTTGACAAAAGCAAAAGGGTATCTGTTAAAGGTTGTTCAGGCAAATATGTTAATTAACAAAAAACAATGACCCATGATGCACTGAAATGAAAAGTGGTGTTGCAAGGACTACCACAAAATCTGAGATCTCGGTTGAGACGTTTTTATAAAGAGGGTTTTAAGACCCATTAAGCATGTTTGTTCAATGTAAACCGTTTAGAATCTACCTCACAAGCTTGCAAAAGATCTCTCGTGCAATGATGGTGCGTCGAGAAGGCCACATTTTTAAAGGCAAAATGCATGCCCAAACAAGAGGCAAATGTCTAATTGACAAAAGAGTAAAACATTTATATATATTTCCTTGTCATACACCTTTGTGCATACTTGTAAAAAGCACTGAAACAGCCCACCTACCATTGTTATGTCAAATGACAGAAGTTGTAAACCTCTTAATCAATAAAAGACAATTGTTCTGATCATCTTGTGTAAGTTTTGTTGCAACATTATTGACTAGCTTTTCCTTAATGTTCTTGATATCCTATTTTATCTAAAAGTCCCAAAAATAGTTTCTCATTCTTATAAAGCAGTGAGTGTTAACTTTGCTAAGAACATTAGAGTGGGCCCTATTACCCTCATTATCAGGTTCAAAAAGTATTGTGTTTCTCTACTGTGACATGCCTATATGCTTTAATGTTCAAAAAGCTCTTTATTTTTCTCATACCGCCTGTGCTTCAACACCTCTTTTCATCCTCTGTCTGAAACCAGAGCCCAGTCGGCTCTGATTGGCTAGCTGGCCGGCTCTGTTGTGATTGGTCAAACGCTTAGTGTGTTGCAGCAATAGCCAATAGAAGCATGAGTGTTACATAGTGATGTCACTTTACTAGTAAACAAAGGACTCCAATTGAGGCATTTCAAGCAGGTGGGGGGGTGAGTGTGTTGGAGAGAAACTTTGGGATTTTAGCTTTTGCAGACCACAAAAAACCTAAAGAACACACTACAGGAAAGGGAAAACCCAACAAAGCATAAAAGGGCCCCTTTAAAAAGGTCACATTTATTGAGATCTTTTTCAGGGTAAAATGTTATGAGAAGATTGTGTGTAGCAAGAAAAACCACCTCTTTGAGCATTGAGTTCTAAAGACTGAAAGCTCAAAGAAGGGCCATTTTGTACCGACAATACTTCAACACAAGGTCAAAAACACAGATTTGTGGTTGTTCGTCAAGTCAGACGTCACGCATAATCCACGATTTGTCATGCGTTAGAAATACCTCAGTAAACATCTTTTGTTTAGTGTGTCACATATGTTGTATAAGTTGTATTTTTCCATCTGCTCTACTGTGGCTTGTGAGGAATGTGAACAGACTGAAGCCACTCATTCCTTGGCACATGTGGTCACTGCGAAAACAGAGGACTCATGTTGGCTGAAGCATGAAAAGGGGGGTTTAGCGTAAAACGGGTATGAAATGAAGTCTTCATGCTATCTTTTGTTCATTTTCAATATCAGCTGCTTGTGATCTACTGAGGCGCTCGAGGGCCACGTCATGCTTTTATGTAGCCCTGCTTTGCTGATTAGGATTTTCCTTCTATTCCACTTGGCAGCTGAAAACAGTTGTCCTGTTATCCTGTTTTTATCTTCTGTATTCCATAGTTAAGTGACACTGGGTACCAGATTGTGTAGCATGAATATTCAATTGGGCTTTCAACCCCCGGTTTCCTCTGGCTTTCAGATGCATTTGTAGGATACATGACACCCAGTGCTTCTTCTTATGTTTCCTGAATAATGAAAGGTTCTCTATTTTTAAAAACGGATGATGAATCCAAACCATGGCCTTGTCTGTATGTTACTGTATGGATGTAACAACACACTCCTCTCACAACACAATACATTTTAAATACTGGGTTTCAAATAGGATTTTGTCAAAATAAGAAAAAGTCAATTGAACAGTGACATTTCCCTTTTTCCACTCACATGTCTCAGGGTGGCCTCACCAGATGTACAATTTTCGCAAGCAAGCCATCTGATGAGTTCATATAATAAAGACATGTGTACGGCTCATCCTGGAAACACTGTTATTTTCTAAATCTCATGCGTCTAAGCATATGTGATTTAATCCAGCCAGTATGTATACAATTTCCCCAATTAGTGTAAAGTAGTTTCAGCATTTGCCCCAATTTTACCCAATTGAATGGACCATACCAGTATTTGCCACTGACTTTACTATTATCCATCTCTACTTTACATCCTGATTAAGTATTTTCCAAACCATGATGTGGTGTTTTAAATTACTATATGACTAAACTTTTTCTACTATTGCAAGAAGTCATTAGCCTGGTAACATACTTCTTAATCACCGCCATTGCGTCTGATTAGATCCAGGATTATGGTGCTGTACCAAATAATGTCTGTTTGCATAATTTAGAACTGTTTTATCGCTCAGCTGGAGCGAGGAAAAAAAGTGGATGAGATCAAGGCAGCTGTTCAGGATGACCTACAGAAATAACCACTGTTGCACACCCACATATGTGTTTTCAGTTGAATGAATACCTGCTGAAAACCTGCTGAGGTTGAAGTTTGGACGTCATCCCACTCCATGTAGTAATAAGGACAATAAAAGCTGTAATTTGTCTCGCCTAACAGATGCAGACAAACCTGTAAGAAAACGAAGAGCAAAGGGAAGAAAATGTCATGACAGCACAGACTGTGCATGCAACACAGTCATAAGAGGTCTAATCAGCCAAAATAATCACCTTTAAAAAGAGGATTTTATTTGATTTACATGTACAATTCATGTAGTGTTGCTAGCAGCTTCGCCGGCCACCGAAAAATATATTTAATACTGCCCAAGGAGAAATAGCATTAACATTTAAGGCAGGGTGAGTAGGATTTCCCCAGAAATCCATATACTCATACAAAAATAATAATCCCTCTCAATCATCACTTATGACCCATCAGAAGGGTGTGGCACCGGTGTCTCTAAGCAACACATCCTCACTCCCAGGTCGGCCTATGTTGACGTTATGTCAAGTCCCCTGTGTCGGCTTTTTCCAACGCAAGGGGGGCGGCCCTTAGCATACATTTTCAACTTTCCGGGATGTCCATAGGCTGTCCGCCGCGGTCCATAGGCTGTCCGCCGCGGGCCATTCTCTGCTGAAGCGAGACTGCATTGCATTAAAAACATTATGCTCTCTATATATTGTCTTTATTATGCTTTAAACAGTGTCTCGGGCTTTGGCTATAGGGCGGCTCAAAATATTTTGTCCGGCTGTTGTGAAGACTGCTTTGTTTATTGTCCTTGTTTTGTTTTAAATAAAGCATTTTCAATCCAGGCACGCTAAACATGTGCCCCCCCAGGGCAGGTTGCGAGTATATATACACAGGGTGTTTCTCAATCGCGAGTACGCTTGCTTGGTAGCACATGTCTGCCGAGCATCTTGCTTCAGAAGCGAGGCAAGAATACTACCTGGCATTCGGAAAACAAAGAGTGGAACAGGCTAGCAAGTGTGCAGGTGTGCGTTATATGAGAGGCCCCGCCTTACATCTTCCGCCACAGATTTGGGGAAATTGGTTCATGCGCAAAGCATTGTGGGGATTTTAAGACCGCAGAGTCTACTCATGTGCAGCCTCGATATTTCTCCAAACGGAGTACGCCGGGCTCGGTAGATTTCCAAGTATGCTGGAGATTGGAACAGTACTTCGGCGGCACTCGATGACGTAGTATGCTTGAAATAGTGGCTCTGCAGCAGCTTTACTCGCGATTGAGAAACACCCACAGTCTATGGTTGCGAGACTGCATTGCATTAAAAACATTATGCTCTCTATATATTGTCTTTATTATGCTTTAAACAGCGTCTCGGGCTTTGGCTATAGGGCGGCTCAAAGTATTTTGTCCGGCCGTTGTGAAGACTGCTTTGATTATTGTCCTTGTTTTTGTTTTAAATAAAGCATATTCAATCGAGACATGCCAAACATGTGACGTCATATGACGCGTCGCACAGGGAGCAGGGAGACCCCGAGATCCGTATTCCCCGTATTTTTTAAATAAAGAGATGTTCAATCACGGGCGCGCATCAAACGTGTGACGTAATGTGGTATTAAAAGTATTAAAAGAGGTGAAAATCACTACAAGTCTGGGCATGTTGAGAGCTGTACATACACACACACATTTCATAGTCTTATATTTCAACAGTTTTACGACAAACTGTGACTTTTTTGACATGGAAATTATTATTTAAGATTGACAAACATCATATGTGTAATTCGTGGCACAATTCAAACGGGATCGAAAGATAATCTTTCTCTCTCCATTGACTTCAATGCATAGTTTTTCCGAAATAATATCCCATGGAGGAACCCGGAAGTTTGACGGACATTACCCACAATCCTCTGTAGCAACCATAGACTGTATAAAAAAATTAAATACATTATTCCGAGTGTGCTTGCTTTTCTCTTTGAAAGTCATCACATAACGGCATTGTAATACACGTTTCGGCGGCATTAAATATTACATATCTGCCGTAGTTAACGTGCTTTAACCAGTAGGTGTCCCTTTCTATCAGCTGTGCACCGTTATGGCGTAAATACAGCCTATCTACCAATTGGATCAAATATAAAAGTCAGCCGAATTAGTGTTGATACTGCAAGGAGACGTATTGTGTGAAAAGAAATGTAAGATGTTGTTTAATTGCTTATATATTTAAGATCCACGTCAAGTTTTCAGTTTTGGCGGCAGTTCCTGTTTGTCTAGAAGTCTTGTCATCAGGGCAGAGTTAACTACGGCAGATATGTCATATTTAATGCAGCCGAAACGTGTATTACAATGCCGTTATGTGATGACTTTCAAAGAGAAAAGCAAGCACACTCGGAATAATGTATTATTTAATTTTTTTATACAGTCTATGGTTGCTACAGAGGATTGTGGGTAATGTCCGTCAAACTTCCGGGTTCCTCCATGGGATCTTATTTCGGAAAAAGTATGCATTGAAGTCAATGGAGAGAGAAAGATTATCTTTCGATCCCGTTTGAATTGTGCCACGAATTATACATATGATGTTTGTCAATCTTAAATAATAATTTCCATGTCAAAAAAGTCACAGTTTGTCGTAAAACTGTTGAAATATCAGACTATGAAATGTGTGTGTATGTACAGCTCTCAACATGCCCAGACTTGTAGTGATTTTCACCTCTTTTAATACTTTTAATACCACATTACGTCACACGTTTGATGCGCGCCCGTGATTGAACATCTCTTTATTTAAAAAATACGGGGAATACGGATCTCGGGGTCTCCCTGCTCCCTGTGCGACGCGTCATATGACGTCACATGTTTGGCATGTCTCGATTGAATATGCTTTATTTAAAACAAAAACAAGGACAATAAACAAAGCAGTCTTCACAACGGCCGGACAAAATACTTTGAGCCGCCCTATAGCCAAAGCCCGAGACGCTGTTTAAAGCATAATAAAGACAATATATAGAGAG